TATATATATATATATATATATATATATATATATATATATATATAAAGAGACGAGAGAGACGAAACACTTTTTACATAATTTATCATCATTTCATTCAGTTACGTGAGGCTGTTCATTCCTGATTGTTTGAGGTTTATCATTTAAGTTTAACCTGAAACATGAGCCTAATACATTTATTCAAGAGAAACAATAATCATATTCTGGGTTATTTAATAATGACGTCACAATCTGAATTTCAAAACGTACAGACGCAAATAATTCATAAATAAGACGATCGCATTCCGTCGGTAGAAATGGATCCTGTGCTTATAAACAGAACACAGGACACAGTTTGTTAACAGACTACAGAGAGAAACACCTCTACAGTGGCGATCACTGTGTCTTTATTAGTTACTAGTATTATTAGTTACTGTTATTAAGTACAGTGATCATGTGAACACACACAAACTTATCAAAAGTCTCTCCAGCTGTTAAAGCCGACTGACAGCTGATCAGCTGTGATCATCAGCACCAGACTTTGCTTCACCTGATGCAACTGAGGAAAGGACGTCTCATATCTCTTAAAACATATTTCCTCGTTTCCTCTCTCCTCGCATGGTTTCCTCCATGCATCCCTGGTGGGAGGGACTAAGACGCAAGGAAAGGACCCAAGTGAGGAAAACGGGGATGCAGTTAAGAGACTTGGGATGTACCCACAGACACACACCTGGTGCAGGTGCTGACAGAAGCAGTAGAGTGGAAGCTAGACGGGCCAAATAGTAATATCTCAGTCACCACAGAAAGGTCGACCCTCTCCCCAGATAATGTAGATATTCTCATCTTTTTGAAAACAAATGTAAAGTGCATTTCACAGTAATGTAAACATTATTGTGTATTTCAATGACATAACCTGACAGGAAGTAAACATAGACCCAAGCTGTTGCCGAGCAGTTCAGTTGAAACAGTGGAAGCTAGCTCCGGTCTGCCCTGAAGAGGGCATCAACATACCTCATGTTGCACTTAAATTTAACAGAATTGAGTATTCTTGAGTGTTTTAATTTTATTTTTTAATTTTGTTTCAAATTGGACATCTTCAATATTTTTGTTTTCATGTAAGACTATAGCCCAAAGTTCTTTGCTTTAAGTGTTCTTGAAGTTCTTTAATTAATAAATGGAAAGCAAAGTTGTATTTGACTCCTCCCCTTTTCTTTGCTGATCCGAACCGTGACTCAAGAATCGTGAGGTTTCTGATCCGTTGCACCCCTAGTGTTTAGTAACTTTAGTCTAAAGATAATAATATTTGCTTCTGTTTCCTCTGCAGCGTCTTCAGTGTCTCTGACATGAGCAGCTCTGTAAGTTTAACTTTATCATGTTTAACATTCAGGCTGAGCTCAGATCAGTTTATCACATCATGTTTTACAATAAGAGATCTATTAAAGAGGATCAGATCTGAGTTCAGTCCTTTAGATGAGTGTGTGTTGTGTGTTCAGGCTCAGAGGAAGAGGAGGACTACAGGAAGTCCTCTGGTTTCTAGGCCCAGAACCAAGACCAGCAGAAGGGCTAACGCTAGCGGGACGGCTGATGGTGACCCCGCCCCCCCCACAGAGACCATCGCTGTGATGGACAACACTGAGGACAGTCAGTACAGATCAATACTCTCCTGTTGTATGGATTCATGTTAAATATCTGATCAACAATCAATAACTCACCTAGTGCTGGGTTTTAATTTCCCGTATGATATTCATTTTTCACACACCGTCATACCGGTGCACAGAAACAACTGCTGTCACTCTTCAACAGGCAGCTAAGTATATTGTTCGCCGCTAAAGGTGCTTTGGTCGGAGCTAGTTGTGTAGAGTGTATTGAGAGGGACCTCTTGTCATGGTTATAACTTTATAACAACAATTAATAACCCACAACTAACCCTCTTTAACAACAAAACACCACGACACAACAGTTTGTGACATAAACAACTTGTAACACTAATAATTGTACATTTATAAAATTACACCGCCGAACAGCATGCTGGGTACAGCTAGCTAGCTAGCTAGCCGCTAGCACAACAGTCTGCTAACAGCTGGGAGAGGCTCCGTCGCTACAGTAACGCTACATTAAAGAACAGAACAGAGCGATGCAGGATGAACAAAGACAGAACGGAGATGCACCGATAGAGTCTGTGCCCAAGAGAGGAGCTGTCTCCGCTGCTTGGACGTTTTTTGGGTTTTAAAAAATCCGACGTCCAAAAGACTATATATTGCAAAGTGTGTCGAGCGACTTCTGTTGACGCTGGTGGTAACACGAGCAACTTACTCCATCACCTCAGCAGAAAACATGTGTTGGAATACCAAGAGTGTGTTGACGGCCGTCAACCAATAACGTTAGCGTGAGTGAAACAGTGAAGCCAAAGGGTCAGACATCGCTTGAAGAGGCATTAGCTCGAAGCACGGCGTTACGAACACAATAATGATCCAGCTCTGCAAGGACCTGGTCCCCGCTACCGACAGTCGAGAAAGACTCAGAGCAATGATTAAAATACTGGATTCAAGGTACGTCTGACCGGGGCGACAATACTTCAGCCAAACTGCTATCCCAACATTATAGGAACAAACGAGCACACCCTCTAGTAAGCAAAGCCTTTGAAGATGAAGACATTCACATGTTTTTATATTCTATGTATGCCTGACAGTAGAGTAAGCCTCTATAAACATATAGAAAAACACAGTCAAGGAGAAAAAAAACATGATCTACCGTGAAATCGCCAGAATCTTAAAGTACCGTGATACAAATTTTTGATTATACCTCCCAGCACTAAACTCACCTGTGTTCAGATGTAGAGGAGGTGGTGGATCTCACCTGTGAGGGATCAGAAGCTGCTGTCGTTGACCTGACGAGCAACGACTCCGTTCTGGTAAAAACACTTTGATATGTGGCCCCTCTGTCTGTGGCCCCTCTGTCTGTGGCCCCTCTGTCTGCGGCCCCTCAGTGTGTGGTTAATAACAATGTATTTCTTGTTGCTAACTGTTTCTTCTTCTGCTGATCCAGCTGGTGGATGAAGGTAAATATTTTTATAGTTGACATAGTAATAATACTTATTATATTATAGTTAATAAAGAGACGGTCCAACATGGCTCTGGTCCTCCTTCAGGTCCTCAGAACCAGAGAGGCCCCTCAGGTCAAAGTTACGTCGTCAGCAGTGATGAAGAGGAAGACACGCCTCCTGTCCTCAATGCTGCAATCATGTCCTCTGTACAGACCAACAGCTCCTCCAGGTAATACACTGATCCTTTGGGTATCCTTTTTGGTATCTTTCGGTATCATAGCCAGGTAGTAGACTGATCCATCTAACATTAACTTTAAATCACAGCCAGGTAGTAGACTGATCCCGTCTAACATTAACTCTAAATCACAGCCAGGTAGTAGACTGATCCCGTCTAACATTAACTCTAAATCACAGCCAGGTAGTAGACTGATCCCAGCAGTGGAAACCAGTAGAGTGTGTGTGTTTCAGGTCGACTCCGGGGACGATCAGCTGTCCCGTCTGTCTTGACTGCTACTCTGAGGTGAGACTCAAACACACCTGTTACACACCTGGACAGCAGGTAGAATCCTGGTTTCTGATTGGCTGCTTATTTCCGTCACAGATTGTGGAGAGCGGCCGATTGGTTGTTTCCACTAAATGTGGTCATGTGTTCTGCAGTCAGTGTCTGAGAGACGCTCTGACATCATCACACACCTGTCCTACCTGCAGGAAGAGACTGACCCACCGCCAGTACCACCCCCTATACATATGACATCACTCTGACATCATCACACACCTGAGGTACTTTTGGATGTTTTATTTCCAGCGACCTCATCAGTGACCTCATCAGAGCAGATGCTTTTTGCTGCTGAGGAAACAAAAGACTTTGTGAGCTGTGTTTTAATTGAAGAGTGATTATGATTGATTGATATTGTGTAATTGATATATTGAATATATTTGATATTCTCAGTTTATTCTTCAGTTTTCATTTTCTCTATTGTCTCTGGACTCTGTTTCTTTTCTATTGTAATAGATCAAATGTGTTAAAGTAGAAATAAACTATTCAATTCTGAGAGTGTTTGTTTTTAGTTGATCCTGTTTGAAACGGAAGCCATGTAACAACTTGTGTAACTCAGGTTACCTTCGGGTAAAGCTCGGGGTAACATACAGGGTAACGGGGTATTTCACTTTTATATATGTGTGTATATGTACATGTGTGTATATGTACATGTGTGTATATGTACATGTGTGTACATGTACATGTGTGTATATGCGTGTATATGTACATGTATGTACATGTGTGTACATGTACATGTGTGTATATGCGTGTATATGTACATGTGTGTATATGCGTGTATATGTACATGTGTGTA